ATCCAATACTAGAAATACCTGTGAAATCATCATTTGTCAATAAAATATTGAAAAGAAGGTGTGAAAATACCTACCCAGTCAATTGTTCATATAAATAATTCTGATACTACCAGCCCTCAGACGATTTTAATGATTGTTTTAAAACGTTGGACAACAATTGGCTTCCAAGACACTGTACTGCTGACCCTATGAAATATCTCAACTTTCCTGATTCTGTATTTTAAAGCCCAGTAACACAGGAAGAAGTTCGTGATTGTATCAATCAACTTCAAAATTAGAAAAGAGTGAGTCATGCGTGAAAAGGGGATGGCACTATCCCATTCAGTGACACTCTCTGGTGACTTGTGAGGCTTACTGATTGAAGCATAATTAGTCTAGGCTAGTGCTCTGGTAAGGGGTGAAATGGGCGGGCATAAGAAGAATATATGACCAAAACCTAGTGATGTTTGTTGGATGTGATTAGCACTTAATCAGTTGTATACGGATGATTTTGAGGGAATTTGTGCTAATTCACATAAAGGTATTGCTTGGGATGGGTTGTGTATACCAGTAAAGGAGATTTTCTCTGAAGTCCCCCCATTTGACTTCAGTTAAGGCCGGCTTATACTTCAGGCTAATGTGAAAGTGAACTGAATCTGATGAAAGACTTCCAGCGAAATTTTGTTTGAGTTGAAATGTGTCCAACTTGTGTGAATTCATGAAATTACTTACCTGAAAGTGAAGAATGGAGGTTTCAAAAATACATTTTTATCCGAGATAGTAGATAGATGTTTCGGAAAGCTTCATTCATGAATTTCAAAGTTGGGTGGGTCTTGTTGATGTTTGCCACAAAATTAGGAATTGGTCAAGAATTTGGTTATAGATGACCAATATATTGTCTCTGTAGCATCACCATATGAGGATGTTTTCTGCATTTTTTGGAGTATTTTGTTTCAGAAGCCATGTAGGATGAAGTCACATACGTGTATTTCAGGGCATAATCTTGAGCCATTGCACTTCGGCCTCTGGAGGAAATACTTTTTCTGAAATGGAAACTGTACTGGTCGAGAATTGAGTTCCAGAAAATATTTGATGTAGGTAGTGAGTGGTTTTGTGATAGAGTTGTTAAAGTAAGTGGTGTTGTTTATCACATGGTTTGACTACGATGTCCTGTGTTTTGTTGTTTTCTTTAAGGGGGGGCTAGTTTTTGCCTGAACATGTTTTTAGTCAGTGTCGTAGCCTGATGTGGGTCAGTGGGTGAGTTCAAATTTGGCGGCTTCCCAATATTCTTCTCAATCTGGTGTTGCACAAGAGGTTGATTTTGGATGCCAAGTGGAAGATGGTTTAAAAGGATGTTTTCTGAGCATAGGGAATAAATATTAAACTAACGTTTAAGACTGGCCAAGCACATATCTATTCCAATTCATAAATATCTTTTTATTCAGTGAGTAAAAAGAAGTCAACATATGGTGGATTTCCAACGATTTTGTTCTGAAACTTTACTTTTATTTTCCCAAACGCCCCCATCCATTTTATGGTATATTCCTTTTGAAAATTGTCCAATAGAATCCTCTTGTACAAGTAAATAGACTTGGCATGCGCTTGCGCATTCTGCGTGTTGCGTCACACACAGACTAATGACTAATAGGGATGGAGTAAATTGTCTCCTTTCCAGGTGCCAGCGCATATTTTATGCAGCAGGCATTATCACTTCTAAGCAGGCATCATCAAATGTTGATACATGGTCAAGTTGCACATAGTTGAATAGGGAGACTGTCTGAGGTACATGTATTTATGAATATCCATTAAGAGTGCTGTTCTTGGTCTTTGATTTAAGGTGTTTGTATTATTCAAAAGTGTTGTTCAGTTTGGGTCAGCAGGTGTGGGGATGGAGCTAAGACCTTTCAATTTTGGGGGGTTTGTGTTAGTGTCACTTTGGACGGGTTGGTTTAATAATAATTCTTGCTCTTTTAAGAAATGTATGTTTATTGGATTTGTTTTGGTTTTTTTGGCTTTGCACATAACAGAGAAATAGTTTGATTGTGTATTGAATTTCTTCCTTGCTATCTTTGTTTTGATGAAAGTGGATAGGAATATAAGTGGAGGATAGTGGGTTGTATTCCAGAGATAAGAGCAATATACATATAGACAGCAACAATGCTTGGCAATCTCATTTGGAAGATGTGGTTGCCTTGAAATTAGAGTGTTTTGTTTAAGACATTCAATATGGATGCCTCTTGGGGTTGGTTTGGTCTTATGAAGTAGCCAAACAGTTGTTGGGCCGTGATGCAGTGTTGGTCTTGAAATTGCTCAGCAATAATTTGAAGTGCTGTTCGCCATGTTCTTTTGAGCTATTCCTCTGTGGTTATTAGCTGGTGTTGCTCCTCTTCTGTTGGACAGTAGGAAGTTCTCTTCTGTAGCTTGTTCACATATTCTAGGAAGGATTTCTGAAATTTCAGAGATTGGTGCAGATGTTGTTGTACTGTTTCTTTGTGTAATGGAAGTGTGGAGGTCTCAAGATTGCATTAAGCGAAATACGGGCCCACAGAAAACACTGCACAATCAGATCGAAATAGCGCTGCCTGTTGACTCTCAGAAGAGGTTGGCCTGATTGTTTTTCACTAGAAATTCAAAATAATGGCAAGAATTTCAATTTTTGTTTCAATTTTATCGCGGTTAGCCACACAATTTTTTTTTATTCGCCTTTCCCCCCAAAGATACCCTCAAATAGTAGTAAAACTTTGTCACTATCAATGGTCATGGGCAGGTTCATGTATCTTGTTTGGCGAGTGATGTGATTCTTGACAGATGTCAATTTGTTCGTATTTTCTGCCTAGGACTTCACCTGCTGAAATTGTAAGTCTGAGAAGTGATGAGAGACTTTTGTTTTTGTGGAAGTGGATGGACTAGGAGTATTTATTCCCAGTGACAAGAGTAGAGGTATATTATCAGTGGAGTTATTTTTGGGCAGGTGTTGTCTACATGTGATTCCCGATGATTTGGAGCTGGAATGAGATGGTAGCGGCTGGTGGTTGGTCTTGCTGTTGCACTTGTCTGACATTTTGTTCGAACTTCACAATCTTCTTTTCAAGAATATTGCTCCCTTTATTGTTCAGCCTTTAACAGATATTTCAAACACTCTTTAATTTCTGGAAAAGTCAGAGATGAACTCAAAATCGTTGAAGTTATTCTATTCCAGTTTACAGAAATAGTGATTGTACCCAAGTTGCTAATTATCACCCTAGATATCCATTTTGCCGTGCTTGTCAAAACTGTTAAAAGGATTAGTTACAAACTATCTTTAAAACTTTATTAAATTTAACGTTCTTTCACATTTGTAATATGGCTTCAGGACAAAATATTTGACTTAACATCTAGTCTGGACAAACTTGAATGTATAATTGGTATTTATAAATTTTTCTTAGGCATCTGATAAAATTTATCTTGATACTTTATTCAGCAAACTTCATTAATATCCACCCACAGTGATTGATATTAACATTTGTAGCTTAACTCGACTTCTAACGTTCGTGTTATTGCAGATTACACAAACGTACTCTACAGCGGCATAACCGTAAGTGAAGCTGCTGACTTAAATAGTGAGCTGACTAAAGAAATTGGATTTGTTTGTTTGCTACAATAATCCTTGAATTTTAAGAAGACACATTTAATGGTTTTTACTAACCAAGCATTTAATAAAAACACTAAAATTTGTTTAAGCAATAGTTATTTTGAAAATGTTGATTACTGTAAATGTTTGGATGTTATTGATGACAAGTTTATCCCCAAAAGTTAATTGCCTGAAAGTTCATACTCTTCTTATACTCATCCTTGGTGTTCTGAGAAAACTGAAATATTGTGTCCCAGCCCATATTCTGATTTCTATTTACAATATGTTATCCTTGTCTCGTCTTCAGTATGGTATATTTGCCTCCAAAAATGCTCATAGTGCCTTTCTTGAGAAATTATTTATGATTTAAAAGAAATCCCCAACATTGATAAATAGCTCTGGCATAAATGATCACTCCCGTCCATCAAACAAGCTTCATCTCAACAAAGTTACAAGTTGCCACATCTTCAACTGCTACAATCTTAGACAAATCTCATTAGGTCTCCAGACTCCCTTTGAATGTTGGTTCTTTGCATGCGGTCTGCTCTCTGGCTGGACATGACAACATTGACCGGGGGAGTGGGGAAGGGGCTGGAGAGCATTTGGCTATTTCCAAGTGTCCCAACAAGTCTGTCCAGGATTGTAGATACCAGGGACCCCTATCATACTATAGAACTAAATTTGATAATTTTGTCCATTGACGTCAAGAATAACCTGCAAAGTGTAAATAACAACCTACTCTTCTGTGTAGTGGATGTTACTGGTAATTACCTGGATGTCAGTACCACTTTTTAAAATCAATGTAATATATTTGATTTTGTCAGATTACGTATTCTTTAATTTTGTATTTTAACATCCATTCCTTAGTATAATATTCCTATTCATTTAATCATGATTTGTATAAAATAAATATCCTTTTTGGTTTTGCTGTGGGTAGATCCAATACAAGCTTTGGCTTCTTGTCTGACCCTCCCTATACTATAATGTACTATTAAAACTACTACCATTACATTTTTTCTCCACATGTATGCAACTACTTATAGTATGGTGATACATAAACCTAAACCTGAGCCTAGTCTTAGGTGGGTGGGCTGACTTGGTGATTGGTTGTGGGGTTTTGGTAGGGATGGGTTGAAGAGGGTTGGCATTTGTTAGGTTGAATGTACTCATATTTTGAAAATACTAACACTTTCAGCATCTTAAAAGATCACAGACCGAATGAAAATTCTTTGATGGTTTACAATAGAAACATGAGGGATCTTATACTTTAAGCCAGTTCCACACTCCCATCACTTCAGGCATGAACTAGAGTATCTTTTCAGGCTATTTCTTCGTACAGTTTATTTAATGTGTGCTTGAGTCCATGAGTCAATTCAAATACACATTGCTGTGTGTTCCTTCTCCACCACAGCATGTCCTTGTGCAGCACAACCCTGACGGAAGAGCGGAATGCGCATCGTGGAGACAAACTTGAGTTTCTTCTGTATCTGCCCCAGTAACTGGATCGGAAGAACCTGTACATAAGGTAAAGCTGTCAATGGCTATGTCTTGGATGCTTGGATTGCATGAAGTCGCAGCCAATGGCATTGCACATTGTCCTGTAAATGATTGGATGTACACAGACTGTCTTGAATCACTTCATGTAAGCCTTGACAGGACATATGAAAACATGATGAGGCTATCTGTATGTGTAGAGATATCTAACGGGATAAGCCACAGCGCTTACCCCGTCTCATTGACTCTGGCTGATGTTTTATCTGTGCCTGTGCACAAAGTCTGAGAAATGTGTGGAGGTACAGTGTGTGTTGAACTTGAATTTAGCCACTGTTGTTGGCCTCTTTTGGCAGCAAATATTGCTTCTTGGTTGTGTCCCAGAGTGTTGAAGAATACAAGATTGCAGGAAGAAATATCATACAGTTCAGTGTTGGTACATGTAAAATGAACACTGCTATAACAGTCGGATATACTGAAAGTACATGTACCCCTTGGCTCCTGAATTTTCTGTGTACTTTTACTGGACATGGAAGCTTTGCTTTACATAAAAGAAACATCTTGAGGATGGATAATAATGACTTGAAATTTAAGAACAATTTTACTTTCAGAGGAGCTACTGTCAGCACGTGGCATGATCTGTATCGTTCATGGGCACATGGGTGGCTGGGTAGACCAGCCACTGAGTACCTGGAAGCCATATGGGCAATGCTGACGTGGAAACTCTTGCAGGTTATCACTACAAAGGTAACAATCTTTACCTTGTAAAAAAATCAAAGTGGAAAGTACACAAGCCAGTAGATTAATTTTGACCAATTAACTTACAGAAATCTTCATTACATAGTTTTTGCTTGCTTTCAATGAATGGTTCCCAATACATCTGTTAAAGCTTCATGTTACTAGTATGACCATACTGCATTTTTGAGAGATGATTGAAAGAAAACTTGCAAACCTTATTTCATTTCGGAATTTGACTTCCACTGAAAACTACCCTGAAGGTAAAACCCACATATTTCAGTGTGATTTCTTTGTAACTTGATTTTTTGCATTGCAAATGTTTGCCCCAAATCCTCATTCAGAAAAGATTGTGGGGCAGGTTGCACCCCCCCATATGAATGGGTCGGACGGGAAATGAATGTGTGGGCAACTGGTAATGGCTTTAGCAAATTTTGCATGGATGCTGTTATATTGTGTTCGTTCTAGTGATGTTGCACTGCATTATTCAAGTGAGTCTAAGTCAACAATGACTTTAGCTGTATATCAAAAGTACATGTATCTTGTCTTTTTTTTTTAAGTAAAAATCTGTGGCCAAAATTATACAGTTCACAAGTTTTAAATAGCCTAAGAAGGGTGGTAATGACAAATAGCCAAATTCAAAGTGCTGTTGATTTATATCAGTCTAAATGTCTTGATTTATTGTTGTTGATGATTTGCTACAAAAGCTTTCACTGTCGAATTGAATAAAATTCAAACATTCTTTATGCGGACAGGGATTCCAAAATTCATAGAAACAAGTGTGCGTGTATCACAAATGATCAAGCTTAAGAAGTGAGTAACACACAAAAATAACTTTGTAACAGATGACTATGAACTTTGCAAAAGCATCTCCTATAATTTATGAAAAAACACTTGAGACATACATGTATTTATGCACAGGTTGAAGGTGCATTGGTAAAATGTGTAACTTTTGTGTAACAGCCCATTACTTAGTAGTAATGGGCTGTGAAAAGTAGTTGGAAGATTTTTCAGGTTCATTGTGTCTGTGCTTTTAATTGATCTATGAGATGTGGTCCATGACAAGAAGCTTATTGCATTTTTTGTGGACAGAAACTCACCCACGACTGTACCTTTCACAGCATGCATTGGACTTCATGGGCGAATGATTGCACCGTCTCTTCCAGGGCAGGTCCTTGAAGGAACTGATCATCAGTTACATTGTAAGGATAATGCTTGAAATCCAAGTGAATTATATCAAATTTAATGCTTGGATAGACTGGGGTTGCACAGGGTTTGTGAGAGGTTTTGGGAACTCTGTGATTTTCTTTTACTGTTGCAGATTGGTGAAGTCCACTTTTCACTTATAATGGAGCACCCAACGATACGTCCGAAAAGTGACAAGTGTTACCTATGACTTATGCAGTAGTAAAGAGCCTACATTTGGCTCACGCAGAGAGGGTTTCTTGAATATTCAAATCCAGTAACAATCAAAGCACAGTGGCCACATAATTATGCGTGTCCTTTTCCCCCCAATTTTTTGTTCACTTCTTCTTTGATTGTGGGAGATTAGGCTGGTTCCGGATGTATGCGTAGTTGTCAAGGATGTTGTCAAGACACCAACTTTGCCTGTTACTCCTGGTATGAAGATCTGTCGTTTTTATCGTGAATGTAATTGTTTATTTATTGAGAAGTTTTTAGATTAAACTTTATTGTCAGTTTGTTTGTAAGTCAGCCTTTTTAAAGTACCTTGCATTAGGAATTTACAAAATATCAAAGTGACTGAATGTAAACTCCTTTAGAAACTATTTCAGTACCAAAGAAAATATTTAATATTTAAAGACAAATTGTTTGTTCGCCTTCCATTTTCGAAATTTTGTGAGATGATGTATACCTCTCATGTACTGTCTTTTTGGCTCAGTTCCACGTATCAAGTTCACTTGTTAACAACTAATGATCATGCACTACTATTAAGGGCCAAGGAATTTTCTGACATTGAAAACTAGTTCAGCTGTAAGTTGAACTGAGTAGGCCTAGTGTCAGTGAGTAAATGGCCACAGCAGTGCCCTTGTTTGACCACCTTCCTAACATCTGACATTTGCTTCTTTTCACTCGTGTTTTTCTAGGTTGATACAACACTTATCTTTGGGAATCGTCAGGTTACCTGAAGCCTGCCCTGGGAATGCAACCCAGCAGCCTAATCAGTGTGATGGCGCTTCCGATGTGGAGGGTGCTGATATGGGGTGCTTGCTATTGCTTAAGTCTTGCAATTTTGTTCACATTTATCTTCCTTAACATCCGTTAAAAAAATGATTAAAGGTCTTTCACACAAGCACTGAAAATACGGGTCCTGTGTGGTTAAATTGCTTCAAAATGCATGGATATTGTGTCTCTTGAAAGTGCATCCCTGTCTCAAAATCACACAGGTCCAGCCTGTTTTCTGCATGGATCGAGACCTCATTTATAATCATCAGTGCATTACCCATGCAAGTATCACTCGGTAAAGCATGCCATTATCCTGAGGATACTTTGTGTTGACGTCCATTTTGCTGTTGCCATCGTGCAGAATAGCAGTTCCCAAAAATATACCTCAGTCATAGCCTTGCTGCCATCTGGTTCTACACACGTATTACTATTGTCACTATTGTGTTTCCATATTTTGCAGGGGTCGAAACGAGACTTGTGAAGTTGGAGCCTTTCCCTTACAACAATTATCCTCTGGAGTTACAAATGAAAAAAATGATGAATTAGTGTGTACAGTGAAATTTCTGACTTTCTCTTTTGAAAGATTTTTGTAGAGCCACAATCATTGATTTTTGCACAAATTAATGTTCTTGCATAAAAAAAGCATGTGTATGGGTGGGAAAATTGCTGTTACCCTCCATTTCCGTCATATTGCTATATCAGCGATACAGGTGAAAATGTGGCAAAACCAGGAATGTTTACCAACGTACGTGTGAAAGCCTTTGATGAAATTGCAGGTATCCTTTGCATTGATCAGACACCATGCACCAACCTTTGCAGGTGTGAATTTCCTGTGGTTGTGCCAAAGAGCCCTCAATCGCTTTCACATTTTCCCAATGCATATGTCGTCACCATTCTCAGGAAGTGACACTAATGTCCAAAAATGAATTTTTATCGATTTCCACTTTTTCAATATTCTCTTTTACAATATCGTGCTTGACCATTTTGACATGCTCCCACAAACAAAACATTATTGATGTCATAGTTACGTTAATGTTTTTGGGGTTAAGCCTTTTGCAGTTCCACAAAAAGACGTAATGCTTAACGTCCTTTGAACATGTACAAAATGTATTGCAAGGAAATGGTTGAAAAGTAGGTCAACCGGGATGTTCGTTTTCACAAAGTGACGTAAATTCACAGTTGTGCGCGCGTAAAGATACGATCACCTTCCCTGTGATTATTATACATTGAACAGAAGGACGTTTATGTACAAAGACGTCAATTTTGTTTTCACAAAGTGACGCTAACCTTTGCTAATTAATTTTGGCTAATTAACCCTTGTTTTCATACTCGGGTCAAGTGAACGATTACACATCAGAGAATCATTTAAGGGATTTTTGTTACATGAAGTTGTCACAAAATACTTATTTTGGTAGTTTTTATAAAGCTCCGGTGATCATCTTGAAAACCTGTCCTCAAAAGCCACATTAGCAACACTTCGTGGTGGCGGTGACAATTTGTGCATTATATTTGAAAGAAAGAAATGAGAAAGTGGTTCTTTGTCATACACTTCTCTTAATTACAAATTTGTGTTTTGGTCAGTTTCATTTGTATTTATGATGTCTAACATTATATCTTTAGGGTGTATCAAAAATACAAAATAGAAATACATGATGTGATAGATTGGTACACTGAACTTCTGAAGCTGGACTCTCCAAGTATGGTTGCATCCAAAAGCGTTTGAGTTTTCAATTGATACTGTAATTGCATCTCTGTAATCGGATAAATAAAAACTTTAGCTTGTTATAATGATAAGTAAACACCTGTTTCCAGTGTGGATTAAATGTATCCCAGTCAAAAGCACCTAAAATGTTCCCTCAGTTGGTGCTGTGCCTAAGCTCAAGCAACTTGTACAACTGGGCTACGGTGTCTTGAGACGTCTGTGCTGGTTACAGGACAGAGCCTCAGGTCATTGTCTTATTGCAGTCCAAAGAAGGTAGAGTGATTTCCCCTCAATGATGCAGTGGAATGGCCTCCTGGGTCATCTGGTCTTAGACCCAGTGATTATTTTCCTTTATTTATGTATACGAACATCATGATGTTGTTGTGTTGTGATTCCGTATTCTAAATAAAAATCAAGGTCATGTGCAACAACCTAGCAGTGGTGTGACAAGCAGTCCAAGAAATGCACCACTGCTGTGAAATTTATTGTAAATAGGGAACATAGACATGTTGGTGAATGTAGAGGTGAGTCATTATCCTTTTTTTTCTGAATAAATAGTTAATTCCAAAGAAAGCTTGTTAATTTTATTCGCAAATCCAGTGCCAGAATGTGTAGAAAGCTCAGAGGACCATCAGCCCAATTTGAGAAAAGGACGGTTTTATGTATTGATCTGTAAAACAATGTTGCTTAATCCTCCATAATGGCAGAGATGCAAGTCAGGCATCAACAGCAAACTTCTAAACTAACGGTATTCTTTCAGATGCAACCATACAGTGTTTAGCATCATACTTTTGATGTACTAATGTGTTGTAGTAGTGGATTGGATTTATTTTTACATACATTCTGTCTAATGATTTTTTAAACTAACTGGTGATGGGTCTTTCCTTATTTTAAGCAGCACACAGTTTCATTAGGAGTACACGTAACTAACTAAAGTTGTGAAACCTTTATTTCGATACACAGTATTATTTTGGGCAAAAAAATGGTGAAGGAGTTTATTTACCAGCACCAAATGCACGTTCTGTTAACATCTAGCTGCATGTATATTTTGTGTACATCTTCAGAAGGTATGCACAAGAAGGAGCTGGAAACGTAAACTTTGGGTGTGGACAGATTTGGGGCACACCTTTGTTTGAAAGGGGGACAGTTAATTTTTTTTTTTGGGGGGGAGGGGTGGACCCATAAATTTTAATTTTTTGTCACGCAATGTTTAATGGCCTTTCTAAAATATACTATTAGAAGGAAGGAAAATAAAACGGACCCCCAATGTTTTTCTCTCAATTAATAAAATGCCTCTTTTTCCTCCGCCCTCACCTTTGGTAGGTCTATAATAAGGCTAAAATAGTTGTTTTATTTTCTGTCTTTTTTATTTCATTGACTTGCCCTTGACCCACACCAGCAACATATTTCGTGAAGAATATGTCAATAAAAGGTATTCTAACTGTAGTCTCTGTCAGGTGTGTGTGCTGTTTGTTGATTTTTAATTTGATTTATTTGAATTTGCCCATTTTTTTTTTAATTGTTATTCGCTCTTGTGTACAAAATAATCACAAAAGAAGCAGTTCTTTTACTTTTCCAAAACGTTCACGCAGTTTTTTGCTTTTTCTCTTGAAGTGTCTCAATCAGGATCTTGAAGAACTTAGTGTCGTAATATTAGCAAAGAGAGAAGTTTACTGTGTTCACTTTTTCGGTAGGATAATTCCAATGTAGGCAAAATCCCCTGTATAATTATTTAGATCACATATAAACGTTTA